CTCGTTAGGATCTACTTGATGTACATAGCAACGATTCAAAAGTGATTCATCAGTAGAAGGACTTTTCTCACCAGTTCACCTTGAGAGATTTCTAAAGTTATGTTAAGGTAATCTTTTCTGTGGGTTTTAATGGGCTCAACTCACTAGGTACCTATTCTGGGATGGAATCAAGACTTGGACACTAGTTGTTACGACATGTGATAATTAAGTTTGATCATATTCTTTTTATGGCTTTTCCTGTTCATGATCTACTCTTTGCTCTTCTCTTCTCTTTCTTACCTTCTATAAGACTCCTTCAGATCTAATACTCTGGTGGTTTTGGCTATTCAATTTCATAAAGCAAAATGAAAAAGATAAAAATGATTGTAAATTGTTGCTGAATGCTGTGTGAATAACTAGATCGATCATTTGATGACCTTGTTTCTAATTTTTTTTTTGTTTCACCGCTACCGGTTTGTTGTATATCGTAACATATACAGATGGCTAAGTGTTAAAGAATACAAAAGAAAAAGAAGATCCAAAAGAGGATCTACAGGAAAGATAACATAATCTAATGTTATCATCATATTTTATGACAACTAGATCTTATCGAAAGTTTATTATTATGACATCAACTGAAGAACGATGAAGTATTGCAAGCAAATAAAGCACCGTTTTTACTATCAGTGTATATCAAGAGAAAATTTCCTCGAATCCTCCATAGATTATTAGAATGCTTCTGTCATTAATTTTGGTATACTCTCAGTAGTTTAAATTTCTGAACTCATCATTAAATAAAAACAAGTAATTAATCTTGAATATACTATTTTTATGCTTAATTCTAAATAATCCGTAGATCTAACTTGTAGAAAGCAGAGTACTCTGAGAATAATATCTATTATTATTTTTTCTTGTTATATAAAAGATCCTTTGTTTTCTTACCAATTTCAGATTGTGTCATATCAGTACGATATGTATCCGGGCTACTCAAATCAATAAGATCAGTTACAGGAACATCTAAAACAAATAAAAGCATATGTTTGAAATAAGATTTTGAATAGATTTTATTTTTGAACTTTTTTTATTTTTTGTTCGTTGTCCAAGTCCAAGTACGCTTTGATTCATTGTTACATTTGTTGTAAGACCATGATTAGTAATAACAACAGCTCGTCGTAATAAATCATCATATTCATTCTGAATCGTAAAAACAAACAAAAAATTAAGAATTTTACATAATAAATTGAAAAAAAAAGGGAAAGAGGTGACACAGTGAGTAATATATGTTAATATGTAAGTATATAGCAAGAAGTCCTACTGCATCCAACCTGTAATCGTGATGATACTGAAGAACCAGGAGAATCAGGTGGTAATTCAGGTGGACTGGATGTAATTGACATTTTCATTTATTATAAAAAACTCATCTAAACAAAATAAATAACTTTATTATTGGTCTATTTACTATGTAAAATTCACTCAATTCTTTGGTTTCAATAGTTCAAAATATCATATGGTATGACATTTTGTTTTGTAATATGAGTAAAAAAAGAACTAATATTTGATTATTTTTGGATTCCTTGATATACAAAAAAAATCAATGAACTTGTCAATTGATTTTTATAAGTACTAGGAGACAAAAAGAAGTAATAATGAAATGAATTTATTTTAGTTTAACATTCTCAATCTTCATCAGTATACTGTACTAGTTAATATACAGTTCTCTATATGAAAAAAAAAGATGTGAAAGCTTCTACGCTCATTTGCTTAACAGTAATAAATAATATTTATGAAGGTAGTCAAGTTTACGCATGACAACTCATAAATACTTTTCAGTCTCAATACGATATTTATGTACAAGAAAAACAAAGTCTAACGGTATCGAAAAATATATCCTTTAGATATCTATGATAAAATATTGAATATAAATGAAGACTTTTTTGAAGAATATTAAAATCAACCGCAATAAAAAAAATCGAGGTAATAGTGATTCATCTATACTTGAACATCTATCGTCGACTGATGGTTGCTAAGTTACTATTATCAAAAGAGGCTGTAATGGTTCAATTGAAATAAAAGTTAATTCTTTTTAAAATTTATTGAACAAAACAAACAACCTTGACACAATCCAAATGAATTATTTCCTATATTGAAGATAATCAACATGAAACAAAAGTTTCTTTTAATTGTTTGCCAAAATCACTCATCAATTGTTGAAATCTTATCAAATTTCATTAGCTCTTCATTGAATAAATCATAATGCATATTTTCAATATATAAAAAAATCTATTAAACTGAGCATTTTAAATAAAAAATTTAAATTGATTAATTTTGATTATCAACAGATGTCGTCTTTGTGATCTTCATGTTTGAAGGATGATGTCAGGCAACAGGTATAAAAAATGGGTGTTTCTCTTTATTCTTTTTTTTTCTCCTGTGGCAAAATTCGCAATACTTTCTTCTTCTTTTCATTTGAAATTATTCTTTACATCATGGCACTTGCAGTGCAATCTGTTTCATCACTATCATCTGCTGTTACAACAGTTTCTACACGTTCATCAACATTACGAACGTCACGACCTATGACAGCATCTACAAATCGAAGTATGAATACAAAATTTGTTGTTGATTGGAATAATTCATCAACGTCATCAAATAAAACAAAAACCAATGATGATAATTTACAAGAAGCTTTTTGTCGTTTTCGTGAACAACGTATGGTATGTTTAAAAAAAAAGAACATCGAAAAATAAAATCGTCGAATGAGCGTCCTTAGGCCATCTTTACCGGACAGTATTAGCAATTCAAAAATTTTCGAACTAATGCTGTTTGGTAAGATGACAGTCAGCTGCTCTACAAGATATTTATTAAAACTTTTTTGAAAAATTTACTTACATGTATATCTTCTCGCAGCAGTATGATCATGTATCGATTGTACATTGATATATGATGAATAGTATAGAAAAAACTTGCCTATTTATATACGAGATTCAATGTTGACCAACAATTTTCTCTCTCTGTGTATATGTGTGTTATTTTTTTTTCGTTAACAATATGGCAAAAGGGCGTAGTTTAAATGAATTATATATTGACGAAGGATTATTGTTGATGGGCACGAGTTTGTCCGCCTTAATTTAACGATTGGATCATTTCTGTTCAATCTTTCGATCCTTTTCCTAGCATATATCTTTATATAAATAGAATAGATATAGATAAATGACACGTGTAATTAGTTTGCCAATTAGGTGATGAACATTTATTTGTATTTCTACGTATACATAAGGATATCCTGTTTGCAAAGATGTCACATCCGTGTGTACTGAACATCAATTTTTTTCTTCTTTTTTTTTTTTGTAATGCTTAATATTTGATATTTACATATGGACGAAAGAGAAATAAATAGCAAAATCAGTATTTTTTTTTCAATATTTTAATCTATTCTAATCAGTTTTTTTTCATATAATTATTTATAGAATTGTATATTAAAGTATACTGTATAGATTTTTTTTTAAATATCGTAGCCTTTTGGAGAAATTTGATTTTTACACATTTTAAGCTTTTCCGTTCGCAAAAAAAGCTAATTTCTACTAAAATTTTCTATGACTTCTGTAACCTTCAGCGTAAGAAAGTGGGAAATGTTTTTCATTCTTTTTTTTTGTTTAAAAGAACATGTTAAGATGCAGAATCTGATCGAGTTGCTTTTTTTTAATTAAACTTTGTTTTTACTATATATATATAAATAGCTCACTAAATTAGTGATCCATTTTTGAGAGATCAAACATGTCATCCTTTTCCTGTATTTACGAAGTAAGAATTCCAAAAAGAAAAAGACTTTATCAGGTCTTACATCTTGACATACATTTTTAAAACAAAGAAAAAGTTAAATACGTAGAATGAGAGTTCACTGAGTATTTCATGCTGCCAAATGGGCTAATTTTACCTTTTTTTTAGTAAATGTCTCGCGAAAATGCTATGAAATCAAGCTGAAAATTTCGAGTGGTTTGAATTCTATTTGACCCGACACTAAATTTTAAACGTAGGAAAAGCTTTATTTGTGCATTGATTGTTCGACAATACTTGAGAGTCATTATCAGAGCAAAACAGAAAACTATTGTGAATAAGAATGCTGATTCGTAGCCTTGTACTACATTGCTAAATTTTATTTTAGAAATTCTATTTTGTCCATATTTATTTTATGACAAACATATCTCTATTGATATAAAAGATAAGAATAAAATGATTATTAATGATTAAAGATTTTGATGTAATAGTATAAAATCAGATGTCATTATTCAAATCAACAATGATATCATGACAGAAAACTGTCATGTATTGATAAAGATCATTAATCTTCGAATCATGAATATACAAATAAATGTGTCATATTATTTAATTTCAATGAAAATGTGTTAGTAATAAATAAGAACATATTAATGTCAAAAATAACATTATTTCAACAATTAAAAACAAGGATAAAAATTAAATTTTATAAAAAGATTAATATTAAAAAAAAAACCAGACATGTAAGCCGTCAAGGATTACAGAGAACTCAGTCTTTCGCTTTTATTCCCTTCCTCTACAACCTTTTCCTAATTATATCATTAATGAAAACTTGTACATGCTCATTAAAAATAGAAACAAAATTTTATTTTGAAATGATGAAAATAAATTAAGATATTGAACAATATTGTACGTAGTGTTTATTCTGTTATATATTGTTTCTATTTAGGATGAAATACGTCTTCAACATCGTGTAGAATTAAAACGCAAAAAGAAAATTCGTCGCTCTGATCCAGGACGAATGTATCGTTTACGATTAAAATTTGTTGAACAAGCAAAACGATATCTTGGAATACCTTATGCAAAAAAATATTTTGAACCTGGAAGTAAGAAAACGAAAATAAAACAGAAAAATTATATATTCAATATAAAACATGTTTTAGCACTTGAATATGAATCAAAATTATTTCTTGATTGTTGTGGACTTGTTCGACGTGTTATGTATGATTTATCAAAAGACTTTGGATTTGTTGTTGGTCCATGGAATCAATCATATATGTTTGATACATTACCGAAAACAATAACACATCTATCGGATGTTCAACCTGGTGATCTTGTTTTCATATCAGCTACATATTACAATGAGAAGAGTGAGTAAGTTTGCTGTTTGGTTTTGTTTATAGTAACAAAAAAAAACTATTCAAATCATATTTTAATATTTATAGTGAAAAAACAACGACATAATTTAACGCATGTAGAAATAATGTTAGGTGATGGAGAAAAAACTATTGGAGCACGATGGAATAATGGTAAAGTACAATTTTTTGATAGTTATAAATTTATATCAAAAAGTTATCATTCACAAATTTATACAATTAAATCAATTGATCATTGGCTTAAAGGAATTTGTAAAAGGTAAAATATTTAATATAAATACAAAATTATTTAGCTACATGTTGACTGTATAAAGAGACCAAAAAAAAGCATTTCAAGAAATTCTAACTAGCAAGGCAAATGTTCTTTTATATGGGATAATACTTATATTCTAATAGAGATTAAACTTAAGCCAAGAGATTAATAAGAAAAAATTTAGTATCATTTGTTTTTTGTAATGGTAAAATGATAAACTATGTAAGTATTCTATAGCAATTATAACATCGTTCGCTAAGATTGTTCATACAACATTGAATTGCGAGGAAACAGTCAACAATTGTGGATCACTTAAATCTAATGAAGACGGAGCAGTTGCAACCATGACAATAGAGTTTTAATTGTATAATAGTTCTTTGTCCGACTCTTTTAGTTAATCTATACCAAGTGTTACTCGTCACTATTTATTCGTGATATAACTTTTTTCAATATTTTACGCTATCGATATTTTCTTTTTGATCTTTTTCCAGCACATTAATTTTAGCCTCTGGCATTAATCTAGTAGAATTGTTGTTGAATTAATTATGAGAATAGTATATGCGGGTAGTGATTATAACACTGATATTGTTAAATTTGAATGAAGTCATTTTACTATGAAGATGCAGAATAGGTCATAAATGAATTATTCGTTTTGAATGATGTAAAAATTGCATTTATATTTAATTTCAGTTATTTTTGGCAATTACGTTGTTATTTTATCTGTATCAAGCTTTCACCCAATTTATCATTAATTATTTTTCTTGAAAAATGAGTCCTCTCCGGAGATGATACATATGGTTACACATTTGAAAAGATAGATAATTTTTGGATTGAAATCAGATCTTTCATTTTCAGGATTTTGTCTTCATTTAATTTTTTGTAATATGGAATTATTATGTTTATATTCTGATTCGAAATCATTCATAGAATGAAGATCATAACAAAAGCTGTAGGTTTCTATTGTTTATTAATAAGAAATTATTGAAAAACGATCTTGGAA